GAAAAAAAAAAAAAGAATGAAGCTAGATTCCCTACTTCATATCACATACAAATACTGAGTCCAAATGAACCAGGCTTAAATGTAAAACCAAAATTGAAACTCTCAGGAAAAAATATAGACATAGGTTCAGGGAAATTGCTCATTAGAATAAGTGCTTGCCTGGCAAGTGCAAGGTCCTAAATTCAATCCCCGGTACCACAAAAAAAGAAAACATAGGCATAAGTCTCCACAACCTTAGATTAGACAAATATTTCTCAGGTATTACAGCAAAACCCAGTCATGGAAGAGCATGCCTATAATTCTAGAACTGGGAGGCTGAGACGGCGGGGCGCGGGGATGTCAATTCCAGCTTAAGACCAGCCTAGAGTACACAGCCATCCCCACCCCCATTCAATGCAGTTACAAGAGTCTGAGCCAGGCAGAACCTAGCCTTGAATGTTTCTAAGCTATGCCAATGGCCTCTTTGTTCCCCATCTGGTGACATGGGGCTCCACAGCCTTCTGAGTTCTGGTCAGGGACTCCGAGACCTTAATGGTGGCAGAAAAATAGAGGCAACAATCTGGGATGAACAGTGCTGGGAGGAGGACCAGGATGTAACGGCTGAAAGGAGTGGTGGCTTGCAGAAACCAGGAGGCCACACCTCATCAGAGAGGTGGACAGCCTCTCCCTGATCCTCTGTGCCCCCTCATCTTTCCTTGACTGGGTCACATGGTGACAAGTTCCCTGTGTTAAAGGATTCCAGATGAGGGTGAATGAAACTAGAAGAGATTTGCAGAGAGGACTTAAGCGCAAACCTTAACAGTCAATTTCAACCCTGGGCTCCAGATTAATGACCAAGCCTTCTGCTCACAAGTACTCTTAAAAGCGCTCCGGCCTGTCCTCACTCCTGTCAGTGGGTGGTCCTTCCTTCTGCCACTCAGGAACATTCCCTGAGCATGTATGTGCGTCACAGACCAGGGTTCAGTGGTAAACAAGGTCACACCCCTGCCTTCTAGGAGCCTACATTCTCAGACAATAAACCCATAAATAGCCAGGTATAGTCCACATGCCTGTAATCCCAGGCATTCAGGAGGCTGAGTTAGGAGGATCTCAAATTAGAGGCCAGCCTGAGCAAATTAACAAGACTCTGTGTAAAAACAAAAAATAAGTAGCGCTAGACATACAGCCCAGTGGCAGGGTGCTTCTGAGTTCTCTCCCCAACACAGCTACAAGAGAAAGAAAGAAAAGAAAGAACAATGGTACTGAGGAGATGCCTCAATAGAATAAAGTGCTTGCCTGGCAAGTGCAAGTGCCTGAGTTCAATCCCTGGTTCTGGCAAAAAAAAAAAAAAAAGAAAGAAAGAAAGAACAAACGAACTTATTTCAGGTAAGTCCTGTGAATAAACTACACTAGCAGAATGAGCTCAAACTGATGAGGATGGACTGCTGTCGAGAAAGCGATCAGGGAAAGCGTCTGACCTGACAGGTAAGAAAGTGGGGAAAATGGAAGGGACGGGGAGATGACTCAGTAGAATAACCACTTGCCTGGCAAGCTCAAGGGCCTGAGTTCAATCCCCGGTTCTGAAAAAAAAAAAAAAAAAAAAAGTGGGGAAAATGAGAAGAAGCAGTGAAAGAGGGTGCTTCGTAGAAGAAAAAGCAAGTGAAAAGGGCTGCCTGAGCTTATTCTCATCAGCCTGAAGATCACGCACACAACAGCAGAGCTGTCTCTTGTCCCACAGCTCCCCTTCTCTTCGCCCAGTGACCTTGGATCGCATCTTCTCAGGTCAGGACCAACCTGAGTTTTACAGCACAAGATGTGCATGGAGCTAGGGCTCAAACGGACACATGCACACTAGCACAACCAGGCCCTCCTGGGATATCTCTGTGTTTTTGTCTCCTGTCACTTCTGGCAGTTCAGGGCCAACATTGGCGTTCCTTTTCAAGGAGTGCAAGAAGACACTACTGTGACAAGAAGGAAAAAAAAAAAAAAATCAAACAGATGTGGCCCAGGGCGGCTCTACTGGTGCAAGAAACAATCTGCTGGAGATGAATGCCTGGCAAGCAGAGGTGAGCTCAGGCCCCTGGGCCCTTGGACAACCGCGCTGGGCCTAGAGGTCCGTGTGCAGGGGTTCTGGCTGAAAAGAATGTATTGAGGCAAATCCGCTTCACCCACCCTCCCCACCCCACCCCCAACATCCAGTCTTGCCCAGCGTTTTCAAGAAGACCTAGGACCCAGCTCCCTGCAGGATCCCTGACAAAGGTCATCTCTCACCCTGTGCACAAAGCTGGGTAACCACAGGATGTGCTCCTGCAGGCCCCAGGTTCCCAGAGCTGCAGGGAGGGCAACCCCACCTCCCACCGGACAACGGAGAGATGCCCAACATGCACACCCACCTCCCCGTGGGAAGTCAGGTGTCAGCAACCAAAGCGGCTGACACAAGGAGTTCCCTCGTTTGTACCAGTTGCTACTTTAGACACTTTAATCTTATGAAATAATCCTTTACAGTTTGTGCTATTTTCACCTCCATTTTATAGATAAGGAAACTGAGTCATACGTATGAAACTTGCACAAGACCACACAGTTATGACAAACCCAACAATGCCCTCTGCATAGCGCTGAGAAGAAACTGGTTACATTCGGGCACTGCCGGCGGCTCTCACCTCCTCCCCCAGTGCTAGAAGCAAGCCCCATCCAGGCAAAGAATCCAGTAACCACGTCCTCCAGGAACAGCCAGCCCGCTGCTTCACAACCAGCCAGCCCCTGCCGCGACCGCTGAGGGTGCGAAAGCGGCCACCACCCCCCATCGCCCGGAGGAACCCTTTACCTGGCCTGAAATCCCCGCCTCTAGAAAACGCTCGCGGGCCTCCGGGTCCGAGGCACCCACGCCTCAGCGTCCGCCACCCTGGCCGCCTTCTCAGCGCTGTCCCGCGGCGCAATTTTCAAAAGATGCAGCGGCCAGCGCAGGACCCGGGCGGCCCGGGAGCTCCGAGAGCGCCGCCCAGCCCGCGGTGACCCGCGCCCTCCGGCCGCCGACAGCGCCCCCCGCGACGACAGCGCCCCCCGCGACGCCGACCTGCGCGCAGGCCGAGTCTAGGGGCAGGAGCCGGGTCGGGACAGGTGGCGCCTCCCTCCCCGGAAGTAGCTCCGGGAACTTTCTCCAGGAGCCGCCAAGGGCCCGAGGTAGGCGTCGCCCGCAGAAGCCGCGACTCGTCCTGGCCGGCGGTGACACCGCCCACCTGCACCGCGCGCGCCCCTGCGCCGCCTGCAAGCCGCGCTGCTCCCCGGGGAGGTGCGGTCAGGCTCGAGCGCGCGGGGACGTCACAGGACGACGGGGGTCCAGCCCCCCGGGAGTGCCGCGTCAGGCGGGGTCCCCTGCGGGCGGCTTCACTCACCTCAGCGCCCGGCTGGCTCAGCGGTACCAGCTGGAGAGCAACCGGCGCGGTGGGCGAGGGGCGGGGGGGGGCGGTGACTCCCCACGGCGGGGCGGGCCGGGCGGGCCACGTGGGCCGGGGCGGGAGCTGGACCTGACCCGACACCCCGCGGGCGCCCGAGCGCCGGAACCGAACGCAAGACCCCACGATCCAGACTCCGCGCAGGTGACTACTGTTGCTCTCCCTCCTCCCAAGCCCTGCCTGGGACTCCCCGGCGGCTAAGGAGAGAAGGACAGTGGGCCCCAAGACGTCTTCAGCCCCCCAGACTGGAGTCGGGCAAAGCTCGCTGTGTAGAGATGGGGTGCCGCTGCCGACCCCGGGTTCCCTCTTCCGGCAGTAAACGCCCTGCGGAAACCGGGGGCTCCTGGAGGGACAGGTATCCCCGGAAAGAGTACGGCGATGCTCGTGCCCCGAGTGACATAAGTTGTCCCCCTAGCGGACTAGGGCCAGAGCTTGCTTGTGGGAGCCCCAGCCATCACCGAAGGCAAATGGGGGGATGAGAAAGGGGTGTCAGGTTTTGCAGGAGCCCCATTGTCCTTGCCTGTGGAGGTGACCATGAAGAGCCATTCACTAGCTGCTGAGAGGAGGCCTGGGTGGGTGCCCAGCAGGTTCTTAGTGATCTCGGGTTTGTAGGTGGTGTTGAACCCCCGGGAGCAGGGCCAGCTGTGGTGTCACACATGCAGAACCAAACATGAATATCCAAAACTTTACTGCATTCATTCACGCATCCACAGATAAACACCTGCTGCCCCAGTAGCTCATGAAACGAGAATAAAGGATGATCTTTAGTTATTGGGCTGCCATAAAAGTGTGACCCGATTGCTAAAAATCAAATTCTGTGGGTTGCTTCTGTGCATCTGAGGCACTTGATCAAATTTAACAGTCACAACGGTCTCATACCGGGTAGGGCACGTGTGGGCCCCACTTTGCAGATGAAGAAATTGAAGGTTAGTGTTTAAGCCAGCCCCACTGTGAGCAGAGAGACCTTGGAGAGGACAGTTGGCCCCGTTTGTCAGCCCAAGGCGCCCAGGCCCTGAGAAGCGGTGGAAGCAGGGCTCAGAGTGGACCTAGGCAGCGGTAAGGCGGAGGGCTCCCTGCTTGGGTGCAGATCTGGGAGGCCGGCCTCACGAGCAGGAGGCAGCATCCAGAACTGGCCTTGACCCCCACCTCTGTCTGCTGTGCAGCCGCAGTGCTAAGTCACCTCTTCCCGGCCTGCAGCCCACATTTTGGGCCAGAAATGAAGCATCCTGAGCAAACTGACTCTCATTGCAACAGCTGCAGCAGTTTCGTTCCATGACACTTTCCAGGGGGTCCCTTGTCCTGAGTGACATCCAGTGCCTCATGACCAGTCGAGGTCACATTTAGTGGTAGCAATACTGGTAGCAATGCTCCTACCAGTATTTCCCATTTCCAAGGTGTACAGACCCCATCCTCACCATCCTCAGCCTTTCAAAAAAAAAAAAAACTTTTTCTATCCTTTTTTTTGGCTTTCTGAGCAGCTCAGGCTGGGCTTGAGCTCACTTTGTAGCCCATGGTGGTCTCAAACTGGGCAGGGTCCTCCTGCCTCAGCTTTCCCAGTACTGGGATTACAGGGGTGCACCACAAGCCTGGCAAAACTCTTTCGTTGTTCTCCTTGCTGCCTCCATAGTGTGAAAGAGCCCTACTGCGGCCAGCCCTGTTCATTAAATAATCAAAATCAGTAAGTATCAAGCAAGAGATTTTCCCGGGTAAGGATGGTAAGTAGGCACAGTTTGGGCCGAGATCAGGAGGGAGACAGACCCCTAAGTGGGTGAGTGGGGGGCAAAGTGGCAAGACTCCCAGGAAACTGGCCAGACAAAGAAGGCCTCCTGTCGAGGAGAGCCCAAGGCAAGCAGAGAGGGGAGGCGAAGCCCAGGGCAGGACAGCACAGCTACGCTACCGGAAGTATACAGAGAGGGCGGGGCAGGGGAGCAAAGCTGTGAGGTCTTGGGGAGCCAAGCTGAGAATCAGCCCTAAGCCCAGAAAGGTGCAGGCAGCAGTATGGTGGGACGGGAGCCGAGGCAGGAGGAACGGATGCAGTGATGTGTCACCCGCACACAGCCAAAAGCAGTGTGTCTTATTATTATTACTAAAAGCAAACACCTTGACTTCCTGTTTTAGAATTCAGGGTTTCCAGAAACTGGAGCAAATTGTGCAGACTGGCAGCACATGGGTTTTATCCCACAGGCTTTATGATGCTCCCTGTAGCTGGTGTGGGGGTAAAGAAGAAGATTGGACTCTGGATGCTGCTGGAGGTCTGTCGGAGGAAAAGAGGGCCCACGTGAAGGGCCTAGGGTGAAGAAGAAGCTAAGCAGGAAACAGGTGAAGCGGCAGAAGGCGCCAAGGGTCAGCCACCTCTTCTCCTGAACTACTCGGTTCAATTCAGCTGTTCTCCCTAACTGCAAGCTAGGACAGATCCAGAAGGGGCAGTTGCTTCTCTAAATCCTTATTTGGGAAATTGGCGTCTCTGAGACCCCGTGTGAGGGAGAGGGGACGGGTGCACTCTGGCTGGGAGCAGACAGGAAAGCAGGGCGGAGGGATGTGGCCGAGGGCAAGAGCAGGACATGGAAGCCACCAGCCAGCATCCTAGAGCCCACTGTATGTTGAAAACTTGCTGAGTTTTCTGTGTGATCACGCATTTAAAACCCTCTGATCATGTAATACCTCTCATTAAAACATGTTAAGGGCCGGGTAGATGGTTCAGCAGAGTAAGTGCTTCCCTGGCAAGCTCAAGGGCCTGAGTTCAATCCCTGGTTCCTAAAAAAAAAAAAAAAAAAAACCATGTTAAACAGGGACCAGCAAGATAGCTCAGCAGGTTAAATCACCTGCTTAGGCAAGCACAGCAACCGCGGTTGGATCCTAGGCACCACATGCCGCACCCCCCTAGGGCAGCCTGAGCAGGCCACAGAGTCCGGGTATAGTGGTGTACTCCTGTAATCCCAGCACTGGGGAAGCTGAAACAGGAGGATCACTATGAGTCTGAGCTGTGTAGTGAGACCCTGTAACAACCAAATACTTTTTTTTTTGTATTTTAGGGAAAGGTCTACAGGGTGTTCAGGGTCTCACTACTAGATCAGACTATGTAGTGACCTGCCTATTTACAGCCTCCTAAGAGCTGGGATTACAGGTACACGCCACCACTCCCAGACTTACCAAATACATTTTTAAAAAAGAAAAACATGTTAAACATACCAAGAATAAGAAGAAAGATAAAACCCACCCACAGACACCCTGGGTTTATGTCCTTTTTCGTTTACCACGTGGTAAGCCTCTTGCTTTGTCCTGAACGATTCCACAGCATGACTGTCAAAGACTGCCTTGGGAACGAATGTGCCGTCTTCTTGTGATTAATCCCTCCTGTAATTGGTCCCTGTTGGTACTTGTTTTGCTTCTCATTTCTCAGTATCAAGATGAAGTGTGGCAATGAAAATCTTTGCACAGTAAACTTGGACGCCCATCTCTGGTTACCTCCCAAAGATAAAACCCTAGACATGGAATTCCAGGAAGAGACAAAAAGCCTCTGCTGGTAGTGATGCTCTACGTTGACACCCCCCCCCCCAAAAAAAAAAAAAGCACAACCACACACACCTTGTTCTTGGCGTGTGAAGGCCAAGTGCGCAGCGTCACATAGGGAACAGGGAGGTGTGGGTCTTCGCGTTCTGGTCTGACGACGCTCTGCGGGCAGCCACTGAGGATTCCTTTGGAAGCAGGTCCTTTCCACCACGCTCCCAGGAGGAAACTGAGACTCGAGACTGAGCACATGGTAGGAAACACCCAGGTTCCAGTCCACCCGGGGCTGTCCTGGAGGCATGCTGCCACCTGAGCACACAGCCTGTGAGGAGGTGAGGGGAGCATGCGCAGTGAGCAGCAGCACTCAGCACACACCAGGGACAGTGACGGGAGCTTGGCACGAACCAAGCCTGAGTCTAGGGATCTGTCATCTAGCCTGCAGAAGGCACAGCACACAGCACTCAGGGACCGTGACCTGGAGACAAGCCATCCCGGGGGACATGTGTGGCAGCCTAGCAAGCTCACAGGGACCCTGGTAAATGAGCAGAGCCTTATCTAAATTTACAGTTTGAAATCTTTGTTCCTTTACTACTTTTTTGTCCTAAATTATTTATTAGCATTAACAGTGGAGCTGGAGAGTATTGTGCCTTCTCCAAGCTGCACAGCGAGAACCACCAATAGTGTGGTGGAACTCGTGGTCCTTTGCAAGGCCACGACTCTTGCGGTCTGAAGGTGTCAGCTCACGCATCTCCCAGTGCTTGTGGACTGGTTTGGTGATCCACTGGGGGTCAGGATTTCTTCTAATGGCTTTGTGGAATGGATCAATAAGGATAACCTCACAGAATTTATATGTGAAATCTTTACCAACCCAGTAAGAATTTAGAACTCTCAGAGCCCCCATACTGGCAATCCAGCTTGCTCCTCAGCCACAGACCGAAGGCTCTGTGCAAATTTCAGCCAGTTAACGCCATGATGGACAGGCTTGCCACAAGTTGCTCCCTTAGGAACCGGACGTTTGCGGCCACCGCAGTGCACACAAATCCTGTATATGACATACCCTTGCTTGGCCTTGTATCCCAGGAACCGGGGATTGAACTCAGGCCCTTGCACTTGCCAGGCAAATGCTTATTCTACTGAGCCATCTCCCTGGCCCCAATATTGTTTATCTTGATGACAGCTAAGACCAGCATTAATGTTTTTGTTTCTTTTTTTTCTTTCTTTCTTTTTTTGTCTTTTTGAGACAGGGTCTCACTATGCACTTGAGGCTGGTCTTGAGCTCAATGTATAGCCCTGGCTGGTCTCAAGCTTGCAAGAATCCTCCTGCCTCAGCCTCCTGAGTGCTGGGGTTGCAGGGATACACCACCACACCCGGCTAACATTAATGTTTCTGAGTGTCTGCCATATGCCAGGCCCTGAGCCATCACCTTTTGCCTATTTTACCCTCACAGTGAGGACCAGAGAGAGAAGGGGACTTGTCCCAGGGACTGCTTGGTGGGAGGGCTGGAGCTACAACCTGGTGAAAGGGGCAGTGTCCAAATCCATCCAAATGGGAGGCCTGCCCACAAGGAAAGGCCATTTTAGTCAGAAAAATGATCTGTCCCATATTCATACCAGCTGAGGTAAATGTCCCTGGAGAACCAGGCATGGGAGCACATCCCTGTAATACCAGCACTCAGGAGGCTGAGGCAGGAAGATCGTTCCACGTTCAAGGCCAGTCTAGTCTACCTCGTAAGATACTATCTCAAAAAATGAAAAACCAAACACTCCTGGAGACATGTGTCAGGACATAGACTAAGGGTGGTCACGGGTCAGGGAAGGTTTCAGAGCAAAGGAAGGACAGAGACAGATATGAAGGTGTTCTGAGCAAAAGAAACACAAAAGCCGTGGTCAGGAACGTAGGAACGAGGAGAGGAATCCCCCAACAGTCTGCTATGGTCAGAATGAAAATGCAGACTGAACATCAAAGCACAGTGTGACAAGCTTGGAGCACCATCTGAAGCCCGGGTGGTGCCGTGTCCCCTCCAGAAGAGGCCAGGCACCAGCTCACTGTCCCTGTGTGACTTTCCCTTCATCCCAAAGGCCCTGTCAGCATTTTGCCTCCTTGCCAAAGGCCAAGGCACTGGGTTTGTGCCACCTCTCACTACACTCTCTGCCCAAGTCACAGTGTTCCTTCTTAAAGCCTTCCTTCCCCTTAAGCTATGCGGGGTGGGGTGAGGGTGTGTCGGGGGTGCTAGCCCGATGCACAGCAAGGTGCAGACTTCAGATGCTTCAGCCTGAGGTTGCCAGTGCCTTGCTTGCACCCCTGACAAAGCTCCCCATGTTGGGGGTCTCGGGATCTCTCAAGCAATGCAGTAGCCCCTTCAGTGCGAGGTGGGCTGAGGAAGGGGGTGCTCAGCATAGAAAGCGACCACACATCACTCCTCCTGCCACCACCCACTTTATACGGTGCCTCTGACTACCTTTCTACCCTGATGGCTGAGGAGCGGGTGACGGAACAGCAGACCTGCACGGATGAGATCGTCACATAAAGCACTTGGTGCTCAGGTGCCAGCTCCTAAAATAGGGAGACATGACAGAGATGACAAAGTGACCAACACCTGAAATGATAGGCAATATCTTGGGTAAATATGAACAGAAAAATAAATGGAAGATATGTTAATATGAGAGATAAGAAATTGTGGGAATTTCCCCATTTCTCTCTCAAAAAGGTGGGTTTTTTAGGGGTCAGGGAGATGGCTCAGTGGAATAAGCGCTTCCCTGGCAGGCACAAGGGCCTGAGTTCAATCCCCGGTTCCGAAAAAAAAAAAAAAAAGGTGGGTGTTTTGGGGGTGGGTGGTAGTGTGGTACTGGGGGCTGAACCCAGGGCCTTCACCCCGAAGGTGTGAAGCTACATCCCCAGCCTTTTTTTGGCTCTCACTACATCTCTGAGCTGCCCAGGCTGGACTCAAACTTGTGACCTCCTGCATCAGCCTCCCAGTGTCGGGATTACACATCTGTGCCACTTCAAGCAACTCTAAAGCAACTCTTTAACAGCTCTTTGGTTTTCCTTGGCTCCCAAAAAAGGACAAGTGACAAGACCTTAGCATGTAACGATCTCAGGGGAGTATGAGAACACACAAGAAAGAAACCTTATTACGTTCCTAAGTCCCAAATTAGACCACACCCTTTCTGAGCAATAGCCAAAGAGCTTGTGTTCTGTGTCCTTGCTACTTCTTAACATTTATGGTTCTGTCTTGAACACCTGTTATTTTCTGAGCACTGACACGTGCCACTTATGGAGCTAGCAGCTTTTTAAATTTAATTTTTTTTTTTTGAGACAGGGTCTTACGAGGTTGTCCAGGCTGGCCTTGAACTCATTCACACCATCACTTTGGTTGGCCTCAAACTTGCGGCAGTTCTCCCACCTCAGCCCCTCAGGTGCTGAGACTGCAGGCACCACTACACCCGGCTAGTCCAGCAACTTTATACTTACCACATAGTTTATTTTTTTTTTAATTTTTTTTTATTTATTTGAGAGAGAGAGAGAGAGAGAGAGAGAGAGAGAG